TATATATATATATATATATATATATATATATATATATATATATATATATATATATATATAATATATATATATATATATATATATGTATATATATATATATATATATATATATATATATATGTATATATATATATATATATATATATATATATATTATATATATATATATATATATGTATATATATATATATATATATATATATATATAACATAAACACTTATCTATTTTTTTGATAAACCTTCTGAAGGAGTTGAACAGACTGTCAAAGAGTGCTCAATATTCTTAAAGAAGAGAGCATAGTATTGTTATATGTTAGTAAGATAATATTTTTGTATGTTAGTAACATAATATTGTTATATGTTGGTAACATATATAGTAACATAATATTGTTATATGTCGGTAACATATATATATATATATATATATATATATATATATATATATATATATATATATATATATATATATATATATATATATATATATATATATATATTAGGGCCCTGCAAATTGACTTTTTTTGTTTCAAATTGAATCTCAAAGCAGGTCTTGATTCGCGAATCGAATCATGAATCGAATCAGCTATTCGTGAAAACCAAGTTTAAGTTTTTGTTTTTTTTCCAAAAAGATAAAAATATTTCTTTGAACAAAATCTTTTTGCTCAGATTATATTTTTGGCGTTTGTTTTAAAGTGATGTTAGAACTATTTTCAATTACTCTTTCTCCCCCTGGTTTGAAAAACCCATTTCAATTACATTTTAGCTTTAGAAATCTAAAAAAACCAGCAATATTCGCAAAAATATGATTTGAAAAAACTTGAATCTTTTTTTTTCGACTCGAATTGAAGCGACACTTGATTCACGAATCGAAGCAATTCACAAGATCCTAATATATATATATATATATATATATATATATATATATATATATATATATATATATATATATATATATATATATATATATATATATATATATAAGCATACATACATTATATATTTATGCACACTTATCTATGATCAAAATTTTGAATGTTATTATTCCAAGCTTTTGATTTAGTCAATAACCTCAAATAAATCAACTGTATTGCCTGCATCAAAGCAATACCATTAGTTATGTTTTTGGTTTTATCGATTGAATGCTATCATTTTGATTCTATCAATTGAATCATCAGTCTGGTTTTGTACATATTGATTCAAAATTAATAAATTATGATAAAAATTGATTTAAAACAAACAAATATTATAGTATATATTTTTTTAGTATTCCAACCATATTCGCGTTTCAACAAAGAAACTTACCTGTTGTAAAGAAGGGAAAAGTAAACTAAAGCAGAAAGACTTTTTCTTGGAACTCGATATAAATATTTTTTGTGTTTCGTGTTTAAATTTTTTTTTTTAATGTTTTCAGCTTGAGATTGTTAAAATCAATATGAATATATTTAAAATATTTTTTACTTAAAGATTGAAAGAATGAAAAATGTTTTTAATGCATAAAAGATATTTATATTTTCATTTGAATTATATTTTGATCTTTTATTTTGTGTTGATTGATATTTATTTGATGCATAAAATAAATTTATATTTTTTAAATTATACTAATGTTGCTTTTTTTTCTGTTTGTCTCTATTGCATTATTACGAATATTACAAACTTTACATAGCTTTATATCTAAAAATTAAATAGTTTATCAAAGTTATGCTTTAAGTTCAAAACTTGTTTGTTTTTATTTATAATATATATATATATATATATATATATATATATATATATATATATATATATATATATATATATATATATATATATATATATATATATATATATATATTATATATATATATATATATATATATAATATATATATATATATATATATATATATATATATATATATATATATATATATATATATATATATATATATATATATACATATATATATATATTATATGTATATATATATATTTTATATATATATTATATATATATATATATATATATATATATATATATATATATATATATATATATATATATATATATATATATATATATATATATATATATATATATATATACATCAAAAAGGAGTATCGTAGCAACAGGTTACAAAAAGTTAACGATTAAGATTTTATTTTAACCCTGCAAAAAAAATTGAATCCTCATAAAAGCAAAAAATGCAAAAAAGATAAAAGGTTCATCTTGCTGAATAAATAAAAATTTAAAAATTTCTACGCTCAAAATTTTTTTTAAAAAGGTTTAAAGATTATAAACAAAAACAGTAAAAGTAGCTTTAGCTGAAAGTAGATTTTATTCACATTCAGAGGACTTGTATTTTATTTAAAAGATTTCTTAGTAAAGCTGCAAGTTATTTTCACAATAATTTTATTTTAAAAATAGTTAAAAGCCTATTAAATTATCTAAAATTAAACAAATTACTCGTTGTCAATGATAAGTTTTTAAAAACGTTACATCCGTAGCCATTTTTAAAGTTTTA